CGATTGGCAACGGCGGGCTTCAATAAGTGTCCGAGTTCGCTACAATAGCTGTTGCAACAAAACGAATCGCAAATATAACATATCACATTATTAACACCCCAGCGGCGTAATTAAATACGAGATTTTACGCCTTGACGTAACGTAACAGAAAATTAAATTCTCTATTAATGAATTCTTGTTTTATTAAGAAAAATAATCCTGTTACAGCATTTATTAAAATTACATCAGTACCATGAAACGAGAACACTGTATTGCCTCTGTCGCTAGTTTATGAATAATCATGGCAATAGGCGCTTTCCATTTTACGATTTTGTCGAATGTTATGATTATTCATATCAGCCAAAGGCGGAAATAATAAATAACAGCTGTAAAATGTATTTAAAGTTTCCTGCAAGTCTAATATATGGAGTGACCTAAAACTATCGGATATCCCTTTGTAGGCAGATTTTTTTTAACCAATTTACAGTCGATTTCTTCCTTCCAAAAATCAAGAGAGATATTACCATTTATTTCAACTTTCCAATAATTTTATATCATGTATTGAAACTAAACCTTAAATTAAAATTTTATTAAAACAAATTCCATCTTAAACTTGATTAAAAAATATAATTTTATTATCGATTTATATTACATTTTTAAAATTTTTGGAAAGTCTTTCTTTTTTTCAACCCTTCATAACTTGAAAATTATCGATACCTTGACATTTTTATTAAAAAGATAAATTTAGATTGACCAAAAAAATCCCCTTAAAAGCATATCCTCTATGGAACATCAGAAAGCATCGTACATTGAATTAACAAAATTATTTCCAATTAGACTAATGCTGTTGAGTCAAGTTAGCATTTTTTTCTCAGTGTAATTTTAATACTTAATGATAAATGAGTAAAATTAATCGTATCATGTTAAAACTAAGTTAATCCTTAGTTATATCCGGCCCTTAGTTATTATCCAGGTAAATTAGACCTGATACCCAACTAATGCCCATGTGGTTATCCGAATCTAGATTACGGAGTTAGTTACGAAGTAAAATATTGATGTGCAATCGGAGATCTTCTTTGGTATCATTTTTACTCCATCATAGCGAAGGGTATTAATATTTTTTATTTAATGTTTTTTTTATTTCTAAATATCCTATTTCCTATTATTTTCCAAATATCAGTGTTTAATTTGATATTGAGGCATAAAGCATAGATAAAAGTATTGATTTCGGGGAATCATTGTAGATGTTACACATTTACATGATAATTCGCACGTACTGCTTGTCGCATTGTCCCAGCCGAGATAGAGAAATTCCCAGAAGACCACAACTAGCCGATCTAGCCGATCTGGGGCAAAGATCATCGTGGCTGGTAAAAGGGTAGAGACGGCAGGATTCAAGGCGCTCGGTTTTCCCCCATAACTGTCGTTGCAGTTGCGACGTAATCGAATCGAAACTATAATAACTTTGTCCCGAGCGCGGTACCTGGCGGTAAACTCGATTTATCTCCGAGAGGAGCGACGACAGTCAGGGTCGGCCGGTGCGAGTGACGAAGAAAGGCCGAGGAGGAGCAAGTAGTCCGTGTGCCAAAGGACGATCGATAGCCACGCGGCGGACCGATTCTCTCGTATTTTCCTATCCTTTCATAGTTACGGCCTGGTGGGAGGTGCGGGGGAACGTCGTCGTTTTATGGCTTATAAAGCGGCGGTCGACGAGGCCCGGTTCTTCGGTTCAGGAAAGAGTAAGAGGGAAGAACAGATTTGCCCGTCATTTGCTGTTAATGTCTCACGAAACGTTTACGTCATTTGGTCCGGCGTCAAGTATGATGGGAAATTGAAAGACGTTGATCGATATATTATTACCACGCGGAAAAAGGTGGTACGGTAAATTGATCAAAATTTTCAGGGATACATCACGATCATATAGTCAGACGGGGAAAAAATGTGAAGAGGATTTCCTAAATATTTTTAGCTTTCTGTTGAAATAACTTTTTTATTTCAAATTAATATTTCAATTTCTAATATATCTATGGTTGAAAGAAAATATACCGCGCGGTTCTGATTTACATTACCGGTATATATCACTCGGATCGATAAAATTATCTCTCATCATTTATATTTCCTCGTTGTTCATTGGCGAGCATGCAAGAAAATATTTCTTGCTAGCTAAATTTAAAACGATTTTATTATCATAAATATCTCAGTACAATATTTTATAATACAAACAGCGTACCGTAGAAAATTCATATTGATGTAGTAAAGTATACGACCTTGGCCAAGGGTCGTGTAATAAATAGGAAGTTAAATTATGTATAGGTGATGTATCGGCAGTCACTTCCCACTGTATTTTGAACGAAATTCCATTCTAACGAAAATTTAATGGAAGAGAAAGAACGGGGAATTAAGTTTGAAGAATTCAGACGGACTCGGCAGTCGCTTCATTATACGCTCCGCTTTAATTAGGAATTTCATTATCGAGAAATTTAATATAAAAAATTAAAAAGGCAGTCTGCAAGGTTATCACCTGTCAATTTTCATCCATCATTATTGCGATTTTTAAATATTTTTATCATGAATCGTTTTTAAAATATATTTTCTTGCGACATTTGCAGTGGAATAGATTTTTGTCGGTAAGTTAAGGGGAAACCGACCGTCTGGGTCAGCCGAGGACAATACTTTGACAACGCCGGGTAATATATGCCCGATGCTAACCGCCGTATCCGACAAGAGGGATAGAGAAGAAGTCAACGAATGGCCGAAGAGATATGATCGCGAGATAAAAAGTTCCGGCGAGGACGATGGGTTTCCGTCTCATCGCGTAAAAAAGGCCGCGGTATTCAATAAGAGCGGAATAATTAACGCCGTCGTAGTGCACGTGTGCCCTTGGTGATAAATCTCCAAGTTATATTGGCGTTCGGAAACTATGCGGATGCCCAAGCGGAGTTTAACTTTAACGATTAACGCGCCAACGTGACTATTCGCTTTCGACCGAATGAGACGCGGGATCGAGTCGTCAAGTCCGCGAGAAAGGTATAATTATTACGTGTGACTTCCGGCGAACAGGGGTGGAAGCAACGTAAGCGGATTATGTGACCGAGTAACGACGTTTTGCGAGACGGCAAATGCGAAAATAATGAGATTCCCGTTGAAAGCGACCGCGTGTAAACACACGCGAAATAATTTCATTTTGCGATCGAGATTCGCATTATCTCTCACGTGACGTGGCTATAGAGTAATATAAATGGGGGAGGCGTATATACAGATAGGGCGTGCGTATATATTTAAATTTTATTGTGTGTGTGTGTGTGTGTGTGTGTGTGTGTGTGTGTGTGTGTGTGTGTATGTGTGTGTCACAAAAAAAGTTATTGTACCAAAACCCATTCAGTGAAGTCCAAGTAAAATACTCTAGTTAACAATAAATTATTAAATATCTATTCACAAATGTATGTATAGGCTATTATTACATACTATCATCACCGTCGCTGGACACTGCCATTCTCGCCATTAATCTCGATGTCATTATTACTATTTTTACATACACACTGTCTAGGACTTACTGTATTTATGTGTGTTAACGTTTGTGAGATTTTATGGTAAACTTTAGAAGGATATTAAAGTGTATTATGATGATAATCATTTATGAATCACCATAATCATCCATATACTTTAACACAAGTAACTGTTGAAACTCTATGAAAGTTCACCATAAAGTCTTACTACAATTTTTGGTAATCCATTCTATTTATTAACAACAAATGATTATCTATGATATTAAATAAAAATCTTGTATTACAAAATGAATTCTTCCTATGTATTCTTGAATAAAGCACTGTACATTGTTTTGTTAGTCATATCATGATGAGCAAGTTGCACCAATAAACATAATTCACCTACAATGATTAGTAATGCAAAAAATAGCAATCTACTGTTTTAAATATAATATTAATGGCTACGCTCAGCAGAATGTATCTAATATTTCTTTTTTTGGATTATAGTCTATATAATTACAAAACAAAAAAATTTAATCAATGATTAATCATCAAATATAATTAATCAACAATCAAATATAATTAATCAACAATTAATTTTTCAATTTGATGCAATTCTTTTCCAAACTCTTAACAATGCTTGTTAAAATTGTATTGCTGTGAATAAGCATCATGATAGAATGCGTGAACCTCTTGGAGGTCCGACGGTGATGTGAAATAAAAATGATAACATAGTTATTATCAACTGTCACGTGTTGAAATTCAATGCATAATCGCGCAACCAACCATTTTGCTATCAATCGGACACATAAGAGTCTATGCGCACGTTTATAAATCTCATAATATAAATCTTCCTATATGTCTCTGTCTTTTTGTATGTGTGTGTATGTCATGTGTGTACGTGAGTATTATTCTATTTCTCGCTTGAAGATGATGTTTCGAAGTCTTGCCTTTGGAACCTCATCTTACCGGAAAACGTAGCACGGCAATACTCACTATGCATACATTAAGTAACTTTCCGGCCGTTTATATCATCGACAAGTGCGATGCTAACTGATTGTTCGGAAATTCAATAAGAGACACCACTAGGGTCAAATTTATTAAACGAGAATGCTTTATAAAAGCTCATTCACGAGATGGACTCGTAGAAAAGTCAAAGTCTCTTCGAGGTAAAAATGATTACTGTTGTCATTGAAAAGATTTTCTGCAATTGTTAATTACAATTGTGAATTTGACCCTGAACACTGCAAAAATGCGTGTATGCTTGATATATGCTACTGCTCCTAATTGTTCCTTGCTGGATATTGCAGAATCTGATTTGGACGAATCAATTCTTATATTCGGTACAAGCGCTATACAATTACATGGTGTTTCTTCTACAACTCCACTCTATATTTCGCACTCCTCATATAGAATATGACTTTCTTGTAATCTTTATATACACGTTTCTACCTCTCATTACAGACTTTGCTAGTTAATCGCCCTAGTTAATTGCTTTATAACTACGATATTCGACTGACTTGCAATGATGATCGTCATCGTTGTGAACGCGCGACCACATTCATACATTCAATCTACACCCTCTTCGGGTTTCCTCTTTATTTCATTCTATTTCGATTAGTTTGCTATACAAAAAGCACGCACGCTCGCGCCGCAGTTGTGAGAATGACAGTTGGTTTATGTACTTTCTCCTCTTTTCCTTTGTTAAAAAATTCTAGAGGTTGGGAAAGATTGGACTGGGGGATAGTAAAATTGTTGAATAGTCAAAATCTTTTTGCGGAACACATCGATAAAAATCGGAGAAAGAGATGCGCGTAAAACGTTAGTGTTACAAAACGTTGCACGAGACATTTTTTTAAAAACGGTGGTTCGACGATTTATCGATTAAACGTTTATCGTTATTTCCCTTTTTCCCCTTTTTTTTGTTTTTTTGTTTTTTTTTTTTTGTATTGACTGACAGTTTCATTTTCGACAGTTTCATTTACAAAACAAGTTTATATCGGTGCTTGGTGTCGATGTAAAACTTTTTCTCATTTAATCGACTACATAAAAGCAATTCATACATAATTTCAATTAATAATGATAATTCACTAAGTTCGTATGCAGTGCATCTCGTCAAAAACTTAACTTTTGAAAAGATATTGACAGGAACACTTGCAATATATAAGTGGGAATTTACTTTTTTAAGACATAACGTAATAAAATTCCAGTCTTAATAACGCTTGTTTGCGTATCTCTGGCAGAGTATATTTTGTCAGGACAATAATTATTGATAAAATAAAACAGAATGAATTATTAACTCTCATACTTTTAGAGAACATAAAAAATATTAACATTATGAATATATTTAAATGTAAAATATATCGCTTTTTTGTGAATATATTTAAATGTAAAGTATATTGTTTTTTGTGTTGCGGCTGGGAAAGGAAATGGATGAAGCATTCATACTCTCGCAACATTTTTTTTCGTATTTTTATAACTCTCTTGCTCGTTCTTTCATTTTTATTTTCTTTATTTCTGCTATTTACAAACGTGGCTTAAATAACAT